TTTGTTTGTTTGTTTGTTTGCTTTCAATTTGCACTTCAGATTTTCTGTACTGGCCTTTTTATTGTACTTGACGTGGACCAAGATAAGTTTGGTTTCTTGACCTTGTGGGATTAGAAGCTATCATTGTCAAACCATGCTCCTGTTCAGCTAGTCTTTTAGTAAGTGAATAAACAGTTTTTAAAGGGACACCATCTTTAAATGTGAATCCACTCAACAGCAATTAACAACAACAACATATTTAAATATATTAAAGGTGTTAGTTTTCAGATTGAGTATCTGACTTTTCTTCCCTCATAATGTCCTGTAGGTCTTTGCAGCATTGCCACTTTTAAAGATCAAGGCTTTGATTTTACTATAGAAAAGAAGTTGCAACAATTGTGCTTATAAAAGTGAAGTGACTGTGGAAGAATGATATTTATGTGATGAATTTATATGGACTAGTGTAAAATTCTATTTTAATTGACATTTTTATGTTTATACAGATTTACATGAATGACAAAGAAATGATATTATAGCATTTTGATAAAATATGCTAGATATTTTCCATGACCAAATGAATAGCTTAAAATCTCTTTTTATTTTTAAATACAGCAAGATCAACTTTACACCTGGGCGGCGGTTAGTCAACCCACACACTCAGTGGATTATGCAGAAGGGCGGTTTCCCAGACGAATCCCATCTGTTTGTCCTCTGTCTAAACCTCTCAATGAAGACCACAGACCCAAGGATGCAGAAACAGGTAGGAGACTAGAAGCAGTGAATGTTGTGAAAATGTGTTAGCATAAGTTATCTTTGTAGTGGTTAATGCGCCCTGTCTTAAGTATTTCTTAAATCATAAGCTACGACTCCACGGCACATAACAACAACAATCTATAAGTAACCCAGTTAAAATTACTAGGAGGGTTGTTGAATGACAAGACTACTGAATTTTGGGAAATGGAATACTGAAGTACTCAGTGATTATTGTGTGTTCAGAAGTTCGAGAACTACTGTTTCTAGGTATCCAACTTCAGTTATGATCAAGAGATTATGCTTCTCATTCTATTCTGGCTATGAAAACGCTGAAGATACAACCTACTTATTGCTTTTAAAGCAATAACTGCCATCTGACCCCCTCTCTATGAATCTCTTTACTCTTTACTCATTGGTCCTTTTCTAAATCATTTTCTTCACCTTCAAAAATTCACTGGGAGAGGCAAACTAGAGAAATCCATTTTGTGTAATCTCAGTTTAAACTAATTTTTTTTTTAAATTGCACAAGTTTCAGGTGCTATGTATTATTTCTTTAAAATGCTTCTCATTGGTGATTTTGTACTTTCTGTTATTGTCAAGTATTTTGTGTTATTGTGAAAGAAGATAATGTGAAATTTGCATTCGTTTTATTTGGAAGAGATCCATAGGGTTATGATCTTGAGGCCTTGGTTCTAGAAGAGCACTTTTGATTTGTCATACAGAGTAGGGTATCATATTTGTGTGTTAAATCCTGTTAGACTGTTAAGTTGGTTCCAACTCATAGCAGCTACCCTGTATAGATAGGGATTCTGAGGAACGGTTGGTGGCTTTGAACCATAGATCTTGAAGTTTGCAGTCCAGTGCTTATCCTGTAGCATCATACCAAGACTCCATGGTTTTATAGAATATGATTTCTTTAACTTATTTTTTTCTTCTTCTTCTTTTTGGCATAATAAATATTTGACTTCCACTTGATGGCTGCACAAGGATAATGATTCTGATCCATAAAAGGAGAGTAAACAGGAAGAACAATTTCTCCCCTATCGAATATTCCTAAATGGTTTTGATTTTTTTGTTCTCCTTCATTGGCCTGTAGAGGGAAAGTTAGGCGTTAGACACTTAATTTGAACTACAGTAAAATAGGATAACATAAAGTGACAGCACTGAGGCTGGGCTCTGGGACTTCTTAAAATGGGGTAGCACCAACCATTCCTCCCACAACACAGTTTTTACTTCTCTCTGGGTTCAGTCATCCAGTGCAATAGCTACACACACCTCAGCCACCATATTCAGATTTATGGGGAAGCTCACAGGTTATAATCTGGGGTCAGAAATACTCAGAGCCTAAAAGATGCACCATAAGCCTCAGCCTGAAGACACTCAACTCTAGTGCCCTGGGTCAGCAAACCTAGCTTTCCAGATTTAAATTCCTGGGGGAGTCCGACTGTACAAGCTCTGTGAGCTAGGAAATCCTCTGATCTGTCTTGTGCCCTGGTTCTTGGTATCACTGCAGCTGCTCCTCTGCCACTCCTCTAGTGTGACAGCTTTCTGTCCCTAGGTTGAGGTGTTTCAATGTGCAGGGATCTAGAGGATCAAAGGATGTGCTCCACTCCTGGCTTTTATTTGATAGTAGTGAGATTTCCACATCTGGAGATGGCCCATTTTAAACCTATAGGGGAATTTCAAGGTTTTAAAACGATCATGAAATCTGCTAACATCCACAGCTGAATCGTGTCATTCTATTAGTATCTTTTCCCACCTTCTCTTACTCGGACCCAGCAAGGTAGAAACATTGTTTGCTGGGAGTTATAGACTGGCTAGACGAGACATTGGATAATTCTTTACATCACAGCAACTTTATTACCTTGGGCAAGTTTCCTAACCACTGTACCTCAGTTTTCTAATCTGTTAAAATGGTGATGCAAGTAACATCTAGAGCACAGGATTATTTTGGTATAGGTTAATGTTTGCATTAGGAATGTATTTAAAATGTGTTAAGAAGTGCATTCAGAATGCAATGCCTGGCACAGTGTATGTCTGTGCTAGTATTATCATTATTATTATAACTGTTATTATTATTATATTTAGCTATCTTTCTCATGAGTTTCCTTTAAACCAAAAATGGCCCGTGGTGTCAGAAATTTTATTCCAGGCCTCACCACAAAGTCCTGCTAGTAGTAACTAATACTCACAAGCTCTATTTTTATCCCAATCTTTGGAGGGATGCATAATTTCTTTTAAAAGTTTTCCTTTCTGTATGTGTGTGTGTGTATTTTTGTCTCTCCTTCTCTCTCTGTGTGTACCTTTTGTCATCTTATAGTACTGTGTGCAATTGTCTGGAAAGATAGCCTGAGATTAGTATCAACTTTATTTGGAAGAGTTAATTAAGTATGGTGATGATCTCCACATCAGATTGTAGGGAAACACTTCATATTTGTCACACAGAGTATGCCTTGTGAAGAACCTACAAAGACTGGGATAAAAGCAGGAGCTTGTGAGCACAAGGTTCCCTTGCAGGAATTTGTGCAGGACCCTGAAATAAAATCTTTGACATATGGTGTCATTGTGGGCATTGCCTGGGGCCACTCTCAGCCTTTCTTGTGGTCTTTTAATATCCTATCCTTCTGAATCACCACTTACTGTTCCCTAGATGGATTGTTGTTGTTAGGTGCCATCAAGCCGCTACTGACTCACAGCAACCCTATGCAAAACAGAACAAAACACTGCCAGATCCTGGGCCAACCTCACAATTGTTGCCACGCTTGAGCCCATTGATGCTGCCACTTTGCCAGTCCATCTCGTTGGGGGTCTTCCTCCTCTTCTCTGACCAATCATGGTATCTTTCTCCAGTCACTGGTCCCTCCTGACAATATGTCCGAAGTATGAGAGACAAAGTTTGGCCATCTTGGCCTTCAAGGAGCACTCTGGCTGCACGCCTTCCAACACAGATCTGTTGGTTCTTTTGGCAGCCCATGGCACTTCCAATATTCTCCCCCAACATCATAATTCAAAAGCACCAATTCTTCTACGGTCTTCTTTATTCACTGTCCAGCTTTCGCATTCATATGAGATTAGTGAAACCTTAGTCCTTGGGTTAGGTGCACCTTAGTCCTCAAGCTGACATCTTTGCTCTTCAACACTTTTAAAAAGTCTTGTGCAGCAGATTTGCCTAATGCAATAAGTCATCTGATTTCTTGACTGCTGCTTCTATGAGTGTTGATAGTTGATCCAAGAAGAGTGAAGTCCTTGACAACTTCAATCTTTTCTCCATTAATAAGAATGTTGTTTGTTGGTCCAGTGGTGAGGATTTTTGATTTCTTTACATTGAGATGCAATCCATACCAAAGACTGTACTCTTTGATCTTCATCAGTAAATATTTTAAGTCCTCTTCACTTTGAGCAAGTAAGGTTGTAACATCTGCATAGCACAGGTTGTTAATTGCTCTTCTTCCAATCCTGATGCCACGTTTTTCTTCATAGAACCCAGCTTCTTGGATTATTTGCTCAGTAGACAGGTTGAATAAGTATGGTGAAAGAATACACCCTGTCACACACCTTTCTTAATTTTAAACCATTCAATGTTCCCATGTCTGTTTGAACAACTGCCTGTTGGTCAAGTCACAAATTCCTCATGAGCACAATTAAGTGTTCCGGAATACTCATACTTCGCAATGTTGTTCATAGATTGTCTTATTGCACACAATCAAAAGCCCTTGCGTAGTCAATAAAGCACAGGTAAACATCTTTCTGATACTCTCTGCTTTCAGCCAAGATCCATCGGACATCAGCAATGATATCCCTCATTCCACAGCCTCTTCTGAATCCGGCTTGAACCTCTGAAAGTTCTTTGTCAATATATGTTTGCAGCCATTTCTGTATTATCTTTAGTAAAACTTTACTCGCATGGGATATCAAAGAGCTTGTCTGATGATTTCCGCATTCCATTGGGTCACCTCTGTTTGGAATGGGCACAAATATGGATCTCTTCCAATCAGTCGGCCAGATAGTTGTCTTCCAAATTTCTTGGCAGAGATGAGTGAGTGCCTCCTGTGCCACCTCACTTTCTTGAAAGATTTCAATTTTTCTTCTATCAATTCCTGGTGCCTTGTTCTTCCTCCTTCAGTATCATGAGCTCTTGATCATATGTTACCCCTTGAAATGGTTGAACATCAACCATTTCTTTTTGGTACAGTGACACTGTATATTCTTCTTTTGATGCTTTCTGCATCATTCAATAACTTGCCCAGAGGACCCTTCAATAACGAGTCTAGGCTTGAATTTTTTCTTCACCTCTCCTTCTTGAGAAATGCTGAGCGATGTTCTTCCTTTTTGGTATTCTGACTCCTGTATGCTGTTCTTGATGTCATGATACAATTCTGCAAAACCAATGATTTGTTCATCTCAAATACCTTCCTTAGATAGCATAGGAGATGACTATACACATGGACCTTGCAAGTTGAATACATAGAAATCATAGTAGAGTTGACCGTGATGATGCGATTAGAGTAAAGCCAGTGGAAGTAAAGCCCATGAGACCTTCACTTGCTGATGGGACACAACTCAAAATGAAGAGAAACAGCTGTAAACATTGATTAATAATTGAGTGAATTTAGGAAAATCAGAAATTGTCAAAAATGAAGTAGAACACATAAACATCGATATCTTAGGCATTAGTGAGCTGAAATGGATTGGTGTTTCTCTGCTATTCTAAAGGTTTTCAGTGACTAAATTCAGAAGTAGTGCATCACTCCTTCTTCCTAGTCTGTCTTAGATAGATATACTCTCTGAAATGACAACAAATGAGAGATGGGATGAAAGAAATGCTCTATTTAGGGTTTAACATAGCACAAGGTGAAGTTGATCAAGGTCCAGGTGAAGTTCCTTAATGAGGGACCTCTTGCATGATCTCATCTGATAATACAGCAGGCGGGTAAAAAGTGCATATATTTTCAAAAGGAAAAAAATATTCAACTAAAAGAACTGATTTCATTCTGTATGCTCTTCTAT